GGGGGGGGGGGGCAGCCTCTTCCAGTGATTCCTGGGGAAGGAGCTGGGGGTGGGGGGTGAGTGTCTAGGAAAGCTTTACGAATCAGCCAACTGGAGGTTACACATCCCAGAGGAAATTCCCCTCATTGCAGAGGGAGGCAGGAAAGACTGTCTTGACCGCGTTGCTCAGGTGGAATGTGTGTGTGTGGGCGGGGGGGGCTTCCAACTACTCCCTGAGTCTGAGACCCACCGGGTGAATCCTCAGGCAGGGGGGGATCTGAAAGGTCCCCTTCTCCACCCTCCACTCCGTCCCAGGAAGATGGCAGCCTCTCTTCGAGCTCCCCAGGGTGGGAAACCCCAGGGTCCCTGGGTAACTCATGGTGTGACCAACCCTAACAGCCAAGGAGGCTCCTTTAGAGTTTAACCTAAATCCGTCGCCTGTAAAGAAAGAAGGAAAATCCTCTCCTTGGTGCAATCCACCCTAAGGTGCTTAGACGGAGGAACCGTGCCCAGCACCCAGGCCAGGGCAGCAGCTGCTCAGAATGAGCTGAGAGCAATGGCCGTGGGCTTCTCTGTCGCCCACGTCGGGGTTCCCCCTTCCCATCTCTGTGGCTCGGTCCCTGCCCTGCTAAGGCTGAAATCTCTCCTGCCCACACCGGCCCTCACCTGCCCTCAGCGCTCGGCGGCTGCAGGGCGCTCTCTGGTGGCCGTTTGGCAGACGCGCCAACGCAGGACTGTTTTTTACCCACCTGGGCAGAAATTTCACCTGTGAAAACCAATCATCAGCAGGTGAAAGAAGACATTTCAAAGACAAGTCCAACTTGAACCTGCTTTTAACACGGCTCAGACAAAGGGCCAAATAAATCACGGCCCCTCCCCGCGGCCGAGTATTTGGAGGAATGTAAGGGTATGGGGAAGACTGCCTAACATTTTAACTGAAAAAGAAAAGCTATCTACAGTAAAACCCCACTGTATTTTCAAACTCTATATGTATATATGTATTTTTAATGGGAGGAGACATATCCAAATGATGAGGTCTCTCTGAGAGGCGGGATTATTGGTAGTTTTCATTTTTCCATGTCTATTTTACACGTTTTCTATAATTATCACCTATTACTTGGTAATCAGAAAAAAATATATATGTTTTAAAAATGGCTCCTAAATCCTTAAAATCCCCATTAAACGTGGTCTGTGTCCCTGTCCCAGAGCGGTCAGCCTGTAGGATACCTGGTCAGGGCCTGTCCACAGCGGGGTCCTCAGTGGCTCACGGGGCCCTGACGGGACGAGCAGTCTCAGCTGCAGCATGGGGGCTCTGGGGGCAGCCCTACANACGAGCAGTCTCAGCTGCAGCATGGGGGCTCTGGAGGCAGCCCTATGCCTCGGTTTCTCTCCTCCAGCCACAGCCCAATCCTGACGTCCTGTCCACTCCTTTGCACCATTCTGTCCTTTCCTTTCTTCCAAATGCTGCTCCTTTGAAAGGACAGTTTGCTGAACCTCCCTCCCTGCCTGAACCTGCACCACATTGCTCTGTGCTCATGTGTGTTTATCGTGTTTCTATTCTGTGTGTGACCCTCAACCCCACGGGGGGTTCCCAAGACCAGTTCAGCCTCGCTGGCCTCANCTCCTCCAGCCACAGCCCAATCCTGACGTCCTGTCCACTCCTTTGCACCATTCTGTCCTTTCCTTTCTTCCAAATGCTGCTCCTTTGAAAGGACAGTTTGCTGAACCTCCCTCCCTGCCTGAACCTGCACCACATTGCTCTGTGCTCATGTGTGTTTATCGTGTTTCTATTGTGCGTGTGACCCTCAACCCCATGGGGGGTTCCCAAGACCAGTTCAGCCCTGCTGGCCTCGTCCCCAGGACCCACGTACAGCGGCCTTGGCCTGGGGCTGATGCCTGGTCCTCTCTCCACAGGCCCCTTCAAGCCCTGCGAGCACCTGTTTGAGAGCTGGGGCATCCGCCTGGCGGTGTGGGCCATCGTGGTGCTGTCCCTGCTCTGTGACGGCCTGGTGCTGCTGAGCGTGTTTGCGGGCGGGCCTGTCCCCCTTCCCCCCGTGAAGTTTGTGGTCGGTGCCATCGCAGGGGCCAACACCCTGACCGGCATCTCCTGTGGCCTCCTGGCCTCCGTGGATGCCCTGACCTTTGGCCAGTTTGCCAAGTATGGGGCCCGCTGGGAGTCGGGGCTGGGCTGCCGGGCCACCGGCTTCCTGGCCGTGCTCGGGTCTGAGGCCTCGGTGCTGCTGCTGACTCTGGCCGCAGTGCAGTGCAGCGTCTCCGTGTCCAGCATCCGGGCCCACGGGAAGGCGCCCGCCCTGGGCAGCGTGCGCGCAGGGGCGCTGGGCTGCCTGGTGCTGGCGGGGCTGGCCGCGGCCCTGCCCCTGGCCTCGGTGGGAGAGTACGGGGCCTCCCCACTCTGCCTGCCTTACGCCCTCCCCGAGGGCCGCCCGGCCGCCCTGGGCTTCGCCGTGGCCCTGGTGATGCTGAACTCCTTCTGCTTCCTGGTCATGACGGGCGCCTACATCAAGCTCTACTGCGACCTGCCACGGGGCGAGCTGGAAGCCGTGTGGGACTGTGCCATGGTGCGGCATGTGGCCTGGCTCATCTTTGCAGACGGGCTGCTCCACTGCCCGGTGGCCTTCCTCAGCGTGGCCTCCATGCTCGGCCTTGTCCCTGTCACCCCCGAGGCTGTCAAGTCAGTGCTGCTGCTGGTGTTGCCCCTGCCCGCCTGCCTCAACCCGCTGCTCTACCTGCTCTTCAACCCGCACTCCCGCGAGGACCTGTGGCGGCTGTGGCCCTGCGCGGGCGCCCCGGGGCCCCTGGCCTCCGCGGTGGCCAGCCACCTGGAGAAGAGCTCCTGTGACTCCACGCAGGCCCTGGTGGCCTTCTCCGATGTGGATCTCATCCTGGAAGCTTCCGAGGCTGGGCGGCCCCCTGGGCCAGAGACCTATGGCTTCCCCTCGGTGACCCTCGTCTCCTGCCAGCAGCCGGGGAGCCCCAGGCTAGAGGGTAACCACTTTGTAGAGCCAGAGGGAACCCACTTTGGAAACCAGTCACCTTCTGTGGACGGAGAGCTGCTGCTGAGGGCGGAAGAGGCCACGCCTGGTGGCGGGGGCTTGTCGGGCAGGGGCATCCAGCCCTCTGGCTCAGCCTTTGCCTCGCACATATAAATGTCCCTCCATCCTGGTCTCCCGCAGCCTCCTTCCCTCCCCGCCATGAACAGTGGCTGCTTGTAAAATAAATTCAACCCACACTCAGCAGCCATGCGGTCCACAGGAAGAGGGCCCCAGCTCTGGCTCCCTGGTTTCCCGTGGCCGTCACCTGTGGGTGCTGTGTGGCCTGGTTTCCTCTGGGCCTCTTCCCGGCCACCTGATGGCTCCACAAGACACCACAAGTCCTTGAAGGCCCTGATCCTAGGAGCTTGACCTGGAGTAAGGTGGTGAGTCCATCACCAGCAGAGACTCCACACTCCACCCGCCAAGGGTGAGGAGGAGGCTGCCCTTGTGGTTCCAGTCTCAGTCCTGGGCACTGGGGCAGAGAGCAGGGGTCCTGCCACCGCCTCCCCGAGCCCAAGTACCAAAGAAGAGGGAGGGTTCCTGGACCTGGTGGGTGCTGTCTGGCTTCCCTCTGGCCCTGAGCTGCCGTCCTGTGGTTCTCCGTCTTTCACCTCTTGCCAAAGCCTGGCCCGCCCTTGGCATCCTGGGTCCTTCTCTGTGGGACAGGAGCCCTCAGCCAGCAGACGAGGGGATTGTGTTGTTGTGTATTGTATTGTAGGAAGCATCATAGGAATCAGGTTCCTAGGGGCCCCAAATAGGCCAGGACCCTTCTGCTTTGCCTACTGTGACCTTCCTATCTTACAGTTCACCCAGTGTCCCTGAGCATTTCAGGGTGCCCCCTCCCCGCCCCAAACACACACCCTGGGGATGAGGAGGGGGGAGCTGGGCCACTCTGCAGACATAAGAGAATCGGGTGAGGCTTGTCCCGGCTCACCTCTACCTACCTACCTCTGCTCTGGGGCGGCCGTTTCTCCCTCCAGCACCCCCGTCACCCCCAGGTCCCTTCCCACCCCTTGGGGCATTGTGAAGTGTGGGAATTGTCAAGATGTAAATATTTGGGTTCTCCTGTACAATAAAAGCACAGTGCAGTATTGTGTGTGTCCCTGGGCTCCCATCTCCGGTGGGCCTGGGGTGCGGCCACGGAGGCTCCTCCTCACCCCCTGTGTTCAAAAAGCTTTCTGTAAATTTAATTTTTGAATAAGTAATACATTTGCGGATGACATATACCCGTTAGCAGTCTCTGTCCCTACTGCCCACTTCCCAGGCTCTCCTGTCACGGCGTTCCCGTTTCTTAGGTAACATCCAAAGCCTCTTCCCTCGTGAGCAGACAGAACGATCATGTTCTTTCTGCCGGAGGGCGCGGCCCCATTCCTGCTTTTCCCTCCCGCAGACAGCGCTCAGAGACCAGCTTGCGTCTTTTTACAGTCACTTGCATCCCGGCACAGATGAGCCGTAGATTTTATTTGTTCCCCTTCCCGTGCAGGTGAGGGTCGCTCAGTTATCTGTTCTCATAAATAATCTGCAACGAGTAACCTGATGGGCGATTTTTCCCACGTGCAGCTGCGGATCCGTGGGACGGGGCGGATGTTCGGGGCCCAGGTGGTAGCTGGGATGTGAGGTGGAGGCCGAGTCCCTCCACCTGCAGCCCATTTGGGACATTTGCGGTCAGGAGTACCGGGTGCAGGAGGGCGGGTCTCCCAGAAGGAGAAGCAGAGGCCTGAGCGGGAGACTCGGAGCTGAGTCCAGGGAGGCCTGCGTCCCTTCGGCTCCTGCCCTGGTGACCGTGTGTCCTGGAGATCGTGTGTCCTGGTGTGTGGCTGGGGTGAGTGACTCTCAGGTGCAGATATCGACCGTTTGTTCTAACTAATGACCCTTTGCTTCTGTTGACTTGGTTCCATGTTTGTTCACACCTGCTGCTGAGCTGATGGTGCTCATGCTGGTCCCCGGTGGTCCCAGCCTTCCTGGGGCCACTCCTGCAGGCTTGTGGCTCTGCTGCCCTGACTCACAGCCTTGGTTCGTCTTGGTATTTCCCAGGGTGATGTCCTGGGAGAGTGGGTGAGACTCCCACTAGGCAGCTTCCTTCTCCACACTGGGCCAAATCACAGGCCCACGGTCACTGTGGCCGACCACTCTCAGGCCAGATCCCCAGGACTACTCCTGGGGAAGGCAGGCAGGGGCCAGGCAGGAGCCTGTTGGCGATGGTGGGAGGCGAACTTGGGCCGAGGGAGGAGCCTCCCCATCGAGTTCTGAGATCAGTGGTGAGCCCTCAGGTGGGGGAAGGGGGACGGTGCCCAGAAGGGACCACTGCACCACCCGAGCCTTTCCTGGAGAGAACCTGGAGACTAAAACCTCAGCCCCAGGAAGTCCCCTCTCCTGGGAGGTTTGGGGAAAGCTGTCTTCGCAGGACCTCTCTGAGGCGGAGTTCTAAGGTTGCGGTTGAAGGATGCCGGGAATGGAAGAGTCACCTGTCACCCCTGATAGAAATGGGATTGGAGAGAGGCGCAGGGGTTCTGGGGGTCATGACAGGAGCCAGGGGAGAGGACAAGAAGGACGAGGTGGAGATTGTTGTTTCTGGACATAGCAGGTCTGTGCGCATCACCCTGGCCTCTCCTGGCTCAAGGCTCACCGCAGTCCTGCACAGGACTCCCCAACCTGAACAAGACAACCTGGGCAGGGGTCCGCACACTGATGGAAAAATACACACTGGCTGGAAAAGGGGCTTTATTTGTTCGTGTTGAATTCCCGCGGCAGCGGAGGGATAAGTAGCTGGCCCAGCCTTCACTTGCTCGGAGGCTGCCCACGAGGTGGGTGGTAAAGTCTGCTCTGGTTTAGATGCTTTTGGGCAGTGGCGGGCAGCAGAGGGGGTGCAGGGGAGGGAGCTTGGAATGTGCAGTGTTTACGTGACCAGTCACGGTGCCATCTCTCCTCTGTAATTAGGGACTTGGGGTTGCTCGGCTCTCCTGTCCTAGGAGCAGAGCACGCGGATGAGTGGGCCAGGGGGAGAGCAGCTGTAGGGGGCCCTTCAGCTGATTCCTGTTCCCCCAGTTTTCCCTGTCACCTGACAGAACAATGAGGGCAAGTCCACGTGGGTCCCACAGTCCTGAGGTGGGATCGCGGGCTTGGCACCTGGTTACCCCGAGCAGGACTCGCCTTGAAGTGGACAGAGGGGGATTGTAGAATCCCTAATTTGTCCAATGGTTTAATCAACCCGTCTGATTTCCTCACCATCGTATTCTAAAACACTAGCGTGAAACCGGGCACGTAGTAGGTATTCATAAACATTTAACGAGTGAGGGTTTCACCACAGTAATTCTGACCAGCTGTGAAACTCGCTAAGTGAAAGCTGAGAGAATGAACGAAAGCAAGCATTACCCTATCGCCACATTGTTAGGACTTCTGGACCCCAGAACCCCTGAAGGCCTGGTGTCAGAGTCGTTCTCGCAGCTATTGCTCGCCTACGCCAACCCTCCAGGGCCCCTCGGGATGCTGGGGAGTCGGCAACATAGACGAAGACCATCCCCGCGGCTTTAACTTTCTCAGTGCTGCTCTCGGGCCAGGTTCACTCCCAGACGCATGCTCAGGATCAACACACTCAATGTGAAGCAACTGTTTATTTTCAGGTCTAAAAGGTTTCAAGAGACATATGTACAGGCTCGACGGAACAACTCCACCTAGAGAGTCAGCGTGGGGCAGGGTACACAGTGCACAGGGTTGGTTCCACACGGCGCCGAACCGGGAATGGCGCCAACACAAAGGAAACGTGAGGCAGCCAGGCAGCCAGACAGCGCGTCTCATGTGGGACGGACGAGGGTGGGGCCTAGACGCCAGCGCAGAATCTCTCGTCTGTGCCTCCTGGCGGCCCGGCCTTCCTTTTTCGTGCTGTGCTGGGTGCTCCTGAGCCGCCAGCCACTGGCGGGTTTCCAGGCGTCTCCTCCTCGTCACCCTAAGAGACAAAACCCGAGGTGCACATTCATGCATCCCTAACACAGACCCGCGAAATGGACTGGCACCGGCAGGAAACCAGGGCTGTGCAAACACCACACCTTTTGCGTCTGCCTCGCGTGCCTCTCTGTCCACTGCCTGGCACTCTTGAGGAAGGCAGGCTTGTTGTACTTAAACTCTGAAGACTGAGACAAACCGGAGGAAAGAGTCAGTGGAGAGAAGAAAGACCTGCAGAGGCAAGTTCCAGCCGCTCAGCTGCCTCGCCAACAAGGTCAGGGGTCCAGACAGGAAACGAGGACACTTACGATGTCAGCCATGAGCGGGTCGTCCGGGTTGGGCTCGGACATGAGCAGCTGAATGGAGGCCAACACCGTGGCGATGCTGAGGGACGGTCTCCAGGCGCCCTGCACACAGAGGCCACAGCTGCTTCGTGTGACCACACGCGTGAGACCCAAGCACCCACCCGACGGCCACGAACGCTGCAGCCAGCCCCCCCACTCACTTTGGGCGGTAATTTGAGAATATCCAGACAGATCCTTCCAGCAGAATCGATGTTTGGGTGATAGATGGGAGTCAGAAATCGGATCTGAGGAGGTTCAAATGGGTACCTTTGAAAGCACAGGACAAGAGACGTTTTATTAAAATACTGCCTCGTAATACATTATACACAGCTTCCTGGTGACCACTCTGGGGGACAGCCTTTGAGTGGTCCCCCCCAATTTTTATTATGGAAACTGACAAACAATAGAAAAGTTGAAATGATAGCATTTAAACACTCACATACCCACCTCCTGGGTCAGGCCGCTTCACCGTCTAAATACTTCAGATTAAGTCATGATTAGATGACAGTTAGAACCCAGGCCCTCCAGCCCCTTCGCTGCTCTGTGTCCCAATCACTGTGCTTTACCCCGTGGGTTTAGCACAATCCACACTCACCTCTCAGGAACAATCACTTCCAGTGTGAATACACCTTTTTCATAAGGTGTGTTGGCCCCACCTATTATTTCTTAAAAGGAGAAATAAAAAAAAAGTTAGGAGGTAATCGGATGATCTGAATCACCACACCACATGGACCTATGACGTCCACAGCAACAAAGAGAAGCTGGGTCGAGGACAGGAATTCTCTCTGGGCTTCAGCCGCTCCTTACACAATGCACCACGTACCCAAAGTGATGACGTCAAACTAAGGACACACTGAAGATCAAAACAAGTTGGAAGCCCTGGCCGGGTGGCTCAGGTGGTCCGGAGCATCCTCCTGTGCCCCAAAAGGCTGCAGGTTCCATTCCCGGTCAGACACATACGGGAGGCAACTGATCAATGTTTCCCTCCCTCTCTCTAAAATCAAACATTTCCTCAGGTAAGGATTAAATTTAAAAAAAAAAAAAGCTGGAAAATGCTGGACATGGATCAAATACAACCTGCAGTATTCTAATCATTTGTTTCCTGTCCGGCCGCACAGGCATTTGAGATGCTGATCTTTGGTCTAAACAGTGCTGCTAAGCTGATGCCCGAGTCTTGGCTACAAATCAGCAAAAGGTACAATAAAGGGCAGAGAAGAGACACAAAGCAAACCTTCCATAAACGCAAACAAGTTAGGGTAGAAAGACCATGGGCACTCTGATTGCTCCCCCCTTGAGAACAGACAGATGTTTGTATTTCAGCACAGCCTGCAACAGGGCCGTGGGTCATCTCCTGAGGGGATACCTACGTGCTCGCAGGTCACCCATCTGGTCTGTATCTTGCCAGCAGGTGATGCCGGGCGGTGGCTCGTTGGCTAACAGGCTCAGCTCTCTCTTCAGACGTGAAGCTCTCTGCATGGTCCCCTCGGAATGGGAGCTCCCCTCAGCTCACTCCGCCACAATCAAAGCCGGCTGGGACTCGCTGGGAGAAAGGCGGTGGCATTGAAACAGAACAGTGCCTGGGGTTTTTAACACATGGTTCTGATTTGGGGAAGGACACACAGATTCCTCATAGGAACCCCTATTCCCAGGCGGGAGCCTGAGTTTTTTTCCATTTCCGTTTTATCTACTCTAACAAATTTTTAAAATAAAGTACAAAAGCTGCAAAAAGATCTATCTACAAACAACAAAAACACTAGATGTTTTAAATAAATGTGTCGCCGCTGATAAGTGACAAACTCACAGAACCTGGGTCTCATCTTGCTCCCCACCTCAGCATGCCTGGCACAGACAGGGGCCGACACGTTAGCTGGGGTGGGGGCAAGGACAATGAACAGTGCCATCCCTCTGAGCTGGTACCTAAAGGTCTGAGGTGTATGTAAACATGATTTTCAGCCGAATCCGGAAGGATACTGATGACAGATCTACTTGGGTGGTGGGGTGGGGCTGGTAACTCCACACAGCCAACCCACAAACGATGTCTATCCCTTCCCTTCTGACCCCTCTTTCCGAGCTTCTATTCCGGCTACAACTTCCGGCACCAAGTGGGATGAAAGCTGACGGCGTATGAAAAGATGCCCAACGTCATTAGTCACTAGGGAAATGTGGCAGTGACGTACTTCACAGCCCCCGGGACAACTACAATCCTAGAGATAACACCTCGGTGCCGGGGAGAACGGGAACCCTCCCACCACTGGCGGGAAAGCAGAAGGACACGGCCACTTTCCAAGCCAGGCCTTCCACGGGCACGTGGGCCCTTCCACCTCAGGCTCTGGCTCTTCGATTTGTAGTCCAAAAACACAGTTTGGGCCGTCAAGCTAAAGTTGGCAGGGCTTGGACGCATTAGCTCATGCCCAGCTCACGCCCAAGGACCTGGACACGAATGAAACGGTGGATGTGTTCACCTGCAAAGCGACAGCAGCAACTTTAAGTCCCCACGTTCTGTCCCTAGGTTAGCTGTACTTGGCCACGAGCGACAACAGGGTGCCTGGTGCGCACAGGTGGAGCTGCTGGGGGTGGATGCTGGTCATGAGCTCAGACAGGGGCACCTGGTCGCCCCCCAGGGTGCTAAAGGGGCTCAGTCTGTGTGCAGGGCGCGCACCTAAGGCCGAGTGGCCCGGGGCCCTTTCCTAACCTCCGGGCAGCAGCTCCTGCTGTCAACAGTCTTTCCCAAGGTTGAAATGGAGGTGCTGACGCTGCAGGTGGACTGGCCGGGTCCTTCCTTAGGCCGCTTCCAAACGCGCTCGGCCGGGGCCGTCGCCTGCGCGCGTTCCCTGGCTGTGCTGGACCGCACCTTCCTCTCCTTCCGCTCCTTCCACGCGTCGGAGGTGTTGCTCCTTCCCTCGGAGGCGGACGCCGAGAGCCCACGGTCACGACCCAGGTGCCCACCAGGAACGGGCGCGCGGGCACCGAGCGCACGGGCGGGAGCGCGCCAAGGGGGGACCCGCACCCCGCCCGCGCTCGCTGGAGTCTG